GCGAGTGCGCAAATGTTGCAGATCGTAAACAAGCTCATAAATTTTCGCAACTGTCGGCAGGCAGTAAATTAAACAGCCATAAAACAGGATAATTAAACAAGCAGCCGCTGAATGTGGCAGCAACAAAATAAGTAGTAGTTATGCACATACGTACACACAGATGTACGAGTATGCATATAGCTCCAGCTGAAGGCGCAACTAAAGCAGTTTTGATAGAAATACAGAAGGCAATGGCCAATGCGCCGGCAGCAGGAGCTTACGTCCGACTAGTGGCAAGTGCGAGATGTACTAATGGCAGTTAAAATTAGAGTTTAAGCATCTCCAGCCAGCTAATAAGCAAACTTCAGCACCAGCAGCAGCCACAAGCAAATGAACTCTGCCAGCGATTAATAAAGTATAAGCATCGATCGGTCTTTGCTACCGCTGACAAGTGTCCGTTGGTCGGTCGGTTGGCTGATTGTGGTGGCTACAACATGTTGCTCTGTTGCATGCTGCATATATTCCACGGGGTGCGTGTAAGTGTTCCTGCTACTGCTCCAGCTCCAGCTCCAGCTCCTACATGCCGCGCACGTAACACGCAAACACTTGTCTGCCAATTGACAATCGCTTTTGGTCGTTAATTTTCTATTGCTGGGCATTTGCCGTCGGCGGCTGAAGCGGCAGGTCATAAAGATGGCGGTTTTTCGGCATTCCTCGTTGACTTCTGGCTTCCTGGAGTATTTTATTGCTTATATTTATTTTTTTATCGTATGCATGTGTGAACATATATGTATATGTTTCGGCAAAAGTTGTGCCACGCATGGCCACAAACCAACAAACAATCCCATACACATTCGTCCTAGATGAATTAATGATGTCTCGAACAAACTTAGCAGAATGAAAGTCGCCGAGAAGTGTACAGTAGTCGCGTTTACTAATCGGACAGCAGGCGGCGTTCTATTAAATTGCTATTAGATATTCAATTAATAAATAGAATTCGTAAAATGACTAATGGATTTAGGCAATGTAGCTTTAAACTGGAGGTGGTCAAAAGAGCTTATTCAGCCGTGATCGATTATATTATTATTTTTAAACGCCAAAGCGGTTTTCGGCCGAGCTATTAATCCAATTGGTGGAGTGTTTCTTAATGTTTTTCCAACAAAAGAAGGGACCTACAGTTTATACTAAGCCGCCTCCGAACGAGCTGCACGAGTTCTTCATCCACTAGAGAAGGTAGTTGGATTCCGTTCGTTGTAGGAAAGTTTATTAAACTGTTGCTCGACGTTCGGTGAATGTTGCTTAAGGCCTGGTGACAGCATGTCGCGCCGAGTAAATAGAGTTGAGAACTTCATCTCTGAGAGGGATTGCCCTAAATACTTTAGCAATATGTTCCTTAAATGTTGTGTAGGTGACCTCCGGACGTTTCCCGTTACCAGTACAGCTCGGTTGGCTGCAGAGTGTTTATGACGTTTAGTTCGGTGGAGAAGCTCTTCGCTTTTCATAGGTCATGCTGATATGCTACTGCGCTCAACGCAAGCACAAAGGCCTCATGCGATTTCGGTTAAGCTGAGAGCTCCAGTTGTTCGGTATGAGGCTTACTAAGAAATCATCCATCCCTGTCTGATTAAGTGTGGTTTGGTTAAGCCAGTAGCAGATGGTATCAGCCAGGATTGCAGAAAGACCAAGAGCTCAGCCTAGTCTAGATAGCAAGCATTAGAAATAGCTGTCTACTGCTTTGGAAGGAAGCGATTGGTAGAAAGCGCCAGCTCCTCTACTACGAAGAAGAGCATAAATATTTCCTTTGCGTCCTTAGCTCACTTTAAACGATTTGCGCTTGATCCCGAAGACTACTATGGATTTATAAAATGCTCAATGTAGGCAAGTTTTCACTATTCGAGGTTTCATTTAACCGGCTTCCGATTCGCTCATATGCTACGCTGCCTTTTTCACTGCGGATCGGCCGCCACATTGTCCGATTTCATTGTTCACACACTGTTTTATGACACCGGCTGGTGATCTATAACATTATGCGTAGTCATACATGTAAGTGATGGTCAACAGTAGTCAATCGTTGCGCATTCGCACAATACATTTAATGACCGTAATTTGCCTACTGTTTCGTTTAATTGCCTCCTGACGCATTTGAGCTACTGAAATGTACCGAAAACGACAATAAGCCGAAGCGAATTCAAGGAGCCACTTCTTATTAAACATTTTATGATCAAACTACAACGTTTTTAACGATCCTAATTCCTTTCTTCTCAAAATCACTTTGTTTCAATTTAATGCATTTCAATTGTTCCACTGATTCATTCACTGGAATCGCTGGCGCGCCTTTCATGGGTCGGTGAGGAGCTCTGCTCGTATGTGCAACATGTTTCTTTTGTTTGCCACAACACTTTACATCATTGTATCTATATGCATAGGTACCCATGTATGTATGTATGTATGTATGTATGTATGTACGAGTAAGTTTGTATGTCGATGCTTGTACAAGACTCGTTGTTGACAACCAATTGCGACATGACAGCATTTTTGCCAGACACGCTTGTTCTACACGCCGCCGCCGGTTCGTTACTTATCGTTGCGGTTGTTTGTTGCTCTTTGTATTGTATTTACTTGTTTTCGCTTTTTCCTCCTTGGCCTCTCCTTATCAACATTAGCATGTCCTGTTTGTGTTGCGCTACAATGTTGCAATTAAGCGTCAGCATGTCGCGAGCGTGCAGCGCCTTAAAGCGAACAACATTTGTCAATTTTCGTCGGAATTTCCCCATCATTTGCCAGTTCGGTTAGCGCGTTGAATTGTTGTTGTGCGGTTGCGCACCGACACGCAGCGATGCTTGCGTCCGTCTCTTCAGGTATTTGCTAGAAATATGCAATGCGTGCAACACGCCCTGCTGTCCGACACAGACTCTCCATTCAACAATGTTTGGCATGTTGATTGAAATTCTGCACGGCCAGTTAAATTTTTTTCGGGATTAAAAAAATTAGCAAAAAAAAAAAGTCACCATGAACTTATGGAACAACTGCTGAAGCAAATTTTAAGCAACAACTGCGGGTATCACGACTTAAAGACACGCGTAGACCAAGGAAAGCAATTAATATAGAAACTGCCAATCGAAATTCACACCCCAGCCTACTTCGCTAAAAAGCTCCTTGAGGTATCGGAGTCTGCCGACGCAGAAAACTTTAATTGGGCTGTGACTTTGCCTCAGACATTTGTATATCTATGCAGCTTTAACCTCATCATACATCGAGTATGTTCCTCTTATGCCGACCCATTGAGGCTTCTTATCACACCGAGTCCAATAAAACTAACGAAGAAGAGGTGGTACGGTGGCGAGCCTCTAAAATAGCGATATTTTTTTTTTGGCCGCTTTTATGGTTTCAGTCGCCCTTAAAATCGAGACCTAAAGCAAGCCAGCTGTCGTAAGCCTGACAGGCCATGAATCAGCTCGGATGCCTGGAAGTGACCGGAGGAGAAGATTTCCTGTTGGTACTCAAGGCGGTAGTCTGAAAACTTGAAGTTTGTTCATATACGTTTTGTTGTTGTTGTTGTTGTAGCGGTTCACTAACCCCGCATCTAATGGTAGGTCCAGGAAACGAGCTTTTTCGACGGGGTTGGACCAAAGGGAGAGGGGGGTTAGATGAGCTGGTTTGAGAGGGCATGTGAAGAGGTGGTTAGTGCCGTGCGGAGACTCTCCACATGCAGGGCATACATTGGGTATGCTGGGATCTAGTCTGGATAAGTAGGAGTTTAATTTGCTACAATATCCAGACCTGAGTTGTGTCAGAGTCACGCGGGTTTCTCGAGGCAGCTCGAGCTCGTTGTCTGCTATAGTTGGTGGTATTTCTCCGAGTACGCCATTCGCTGGAAGGGAGTCCTTGAGGTGTTGACAGACTCCTGGTGAATGACGTTCAGTGCTTGTCGGTTGTTGTACATGTTGTTGGATTGTGTCCTTTAGGTCTAGTACTCCCTTTCTGATGTGCCTAGGTGGAGGTTCAGCTTCTATTAGGTGCCTACTGGGGTGCCCTCTGCGGTAGTAACCCAATAGGAACTGCTTGCACAGTAAAACCTTATGCTCCTTAACTCGTAGCATAGATGCTTCCCTGTGCAAGTGATGCTCCGGCGACATCAGGAGGTTTCCTGTCGCGGTCCTGTGGGCGGTGTTCTGGCAAGCCTGTAACTTTTTCATCTGCTCGTTCGTCCCCGGCGGCCAGATCGGTGCAGCATAGTTTCCGACCGGCCGGCCAATTGCTTTATAAGTAGCCAGCAAAGTTTCTTTGTCTTTACCCCAGGTGCTGCCGACTAGCGCTTTGAGTATTTTGTTGCGACTCTAGAGTTTCGCGGCAATTGCGGTCGTATGCGGAGTGAAGGAGTGTAGGCTGTCTAGGGTTCCTTCCAATATTTTTGGGTTCGACGAGGTGCGATCACCGAATAAAATTTCCACCCGGTCATCGCGTCTCGTCGGGTTAAACAGCGACTTGACTGTATCCCAGAGCTTGGTTGATTCAGAGGAGAGGTTGCAAATCCTTAGGTGCTCCTCCCACTTTTCTCAATTGTGATTGTTGACTACTCTTCGAATCTCCACGTTTAAATCCCTGATTAGGGGGTTCCCGGGATCGGTGCTTCGGAGGGTGTTGCGCTTAGATGCTAATACCGCCGATTCTGTCGGAAAATTTGGGCGGATCTCCGCAATTCGGCCTGCCGGGATGAAGCGGGCGGCAGCGGTCAGCGGAGTGGAAGAGCACTAAAGGCGTTCTGTAGGTCTCCAGGTCCATCTAAGAGGGAATGGTTGACTTTATGGACTCCATTCAAGATCACATCACAGTACAACTCGATACGACGAGCTACTGGCCTACTAGTGAACTACCCGTATCAGGCAAGAAGCTCGAACTGTCTCACAAGACCCCAGTAATGGATACAGTTGTGTGCATTTAATCTATTTCGAGTTGTAAGACCAACTAAGCTTTTGGAATTTATGCAGAGCACTTTACAACAAGGAAGGCTTTCTGACTTTTTTAAGCATACTGTCTATTATTTATAAAAATTCATAAATTAAAGATTTTTTTTTACAATAACAATATAAAGATCTCTTCTGTAAAATCATCTCTTCTGTTCGCTTGGTCCTTCAACCAATCCCACGCGGTCTCGATTGCCTTCCCATTGAACAGTTTGATAATGTACTTCACGTTCAGCATTATCTTCGCCTTTCTCTTCTCCTTCAACGAAGTAAGCGAAAATGCAGATTTTATTGACTATCACAGATAAACGAACTTTCGCTATTAAATCCAGAGGTTGTACAATGGGCGAATCCAACAGTATGACAATGTGTGAAGCATGGTATTGTAAGGGATCACCAGGATACAGAAGGAAATCAGCGCCGAAAGCGTCGCCAGCAGTGACATAGTGACCACGGGACCAAAAGTCGCAGAACACTTTATATTTTAAAGGGCTTTGGATGGGCGGTGTGTCAACAATTTTAAATGCTGCAATTGTGAGAGGTTTAAAATTAAAAAAAGAAAATATTATGTGACTGACTTAAGGCACACACCATGAGGCTGATCATGCGAACAGGCGATTTCCAATTGCACATTTTTGCGGTCAAAAACGAAATTGTCAGCAGTTTCTTGTAGTATCTTAGAGGCATCCAGTTCGATAGCTAGAAGGAAGTAAACGTATTAAATTATTCGTCTATAAGATTGAATAAATTTGCTATTACCCGCATCGCTCACACCTTCCCTTAAAAGTTTTTTTCGCTTGCCTGCCAATATTTTACTCATATTTCGCTCCGTTTCACGCAATTTTTCAGCCTTCAAGGTTTCGGATTGTGCACTAAAACTCACTTCCAAATTTTTATGGTACTCCGCCAATTCTTTTTCATCTGGCACGCGCAGTAGAGAATCCCGCTTGGAAACCAATTGTGCTATACCACGCTCCACTAAAAAATGTGTCTCAAGTGGCGTTAATTCCATGGGTAAAGCTTTGGAATAACAAAGATTAATTTAAGTTAATTTTTAATGAAGTAAACTCACTGCAATCATTGGCCGACCAGCCGCGTACATTACACGTGCCTACCAATGCGCCCACAATGCGGTGCTTCCGCCGCAATGTCATGTAATCTACAAAATGGAACATTATATATATTTTTGGTAAGTTTATAAATTTCTCAAAATATTTACTTACCCTCCACTTTGAAAACATAGCCAGTGCCATTGATTAACGTTAAATTAAGTTTTTCATTCATAACATTGATGTTCTTCATCTTTTGTTTACGAATATTATGAGAAAGATTAACAAAAATACTTACGGCGACATCTGCGTGTCAGTTATAAAGAACTGAAACTGGACAAACTTCACAATGCAGGGTGTCGCAAGAAATTTTGAAAAATAAGATTGATTTTTTCTTTTGTAATATTTATTTAATTTAAATTCCTTTTATTTGATACTTGTTAGAATATCTATTAACTTTTAATAAAAAATTATAATTTTTTATGTTAATTTGTAAATTACCCGAAAATTTTCAATCATCGCTACGTGTATGGCAGCACTAAACGTACTAGTTGTTAATTACTGGAAAACTTTTAACCATTTCTACGGCTATGGCAGCACTACAACTGTCAATGAACTGTTAACGCCGCTTTGGCAAAGCACAATTTTATTTTCTTGAAAATTTCAGTAATAAATCTAAGTTTTGTTTTATCAAAAAGTTTATTTTCTCCTTTTCTGTGTACGACTACGCATAATCTCCAAAATGTCTTTCATGAATCCAGTAGATATGGTCGAGGAAGATGCTGCGGATTTGCAATTTCCAAAGGGTAAGCGCAAAAGCCCATTTTTATACAAAGTGTGATCGACAAGTGAAACGCGCGGCTCGTAGTTTGTAAGAACGTTTATGTGAAACCATTGGGCACAAACATTTTTTATTATTTCCATTTTATAGTCAAGTTAGAAGTGCCAAAAAATTTGTCTAGCAAAATAACGGCTACCAGCATGAATTGCACAAACCACAGTAATCAAATTATCAAAGTGCGCCCCAATACGGATACCAAATATGTTAAAGCTTGCTATAACGTTGAACAATTGAACCGAGCATTGGAGCAACACAGCAAAGCTAAACTTCTTTACAATGCCGATGCTATTAAAGCTAGTGCACATAATACAGAACATTGCGCCGCCTGCAAATGTGATCTCTATGAGCCATTTATTAAGTGTGCCGATTGCGAACATACGCTACTCTGCCTGCAATGTTTTGCGAAGGGCAGTGAGACGGCGATGCACCTCAATACACATGCCTACATTATTGTGCGGGACGATATACAGGTATTCCCCGGCGCTGGCGACTGGACTGCTCGAGATGAACGTATTTTATTGCATACACTGGAGAAGAAGGGCTATGGCAATTGGGAGGCAGTCGTTCAGGCATTGAGTTTCCGACACAGCGTAGAGGAATGTCGTCAGCACTATCATGATTTCTATTTCGGTGGCATATTTGAGCGGTTACTCGGCCTAACACATGCGAGAAATGCTTACTTTCCCGAACGCATGCCTTATGTTGTAAAAATGCGTTCGGTAGACCCACCACGTAGTGATGAGACGGCTACAATGCAATTCAAAATGATGGCGGGTTATCGTTGTGCTCGAGGTGACTTCGATACACCCTTTGATAATTCAGCTGAGGATTTACTTACAACAATTATGCAAGATACTTTCGCAAGCAAGGAGGACGATGATGAGTTACTCGATTGTAAAAGTCGCGAGGCTTGTGATGAGTTGCAATTAGCGTTGGTGCGTGCTTATAATCATCGTTTGAGGTAATGAAGTTTAGAGAATTACAAGCTAAGAATATCATAGGTATTTATTGCATATAATTTCAGCGAGCGTCAACGTCGCTACAGAATTATGCGTGACCACGGTCTGATTATGCCGAATCGTACACTGGGCTGGATATCAAAGTATGGTGAGGCGTTGGGATCCGAATCGAATTGCAATCGTTTTCTTTCTTTTATGCAAATCTGCAATCCTGTCAAATTTGATATGCTTGTGGAATCACTGAAATATTTCACAGACGTCCAGAAGAAGATTTATCGGTTTGTTTAATAATTCAAGAGAGGATATTTATTAATTACTAACCTCTCCTTATATTCACTACCAGTTTGTATGAACTACGCCAGAGTGGTGTGCGCACGCTGACCGGTGGGTCATTATATTTCCAATTGAAAAAGCAACGCGCACAGCAACAGCGTGAACGCTTAAAGGATGATACCTATCGTCAACTGCACGATTGGCGAAAGCTTATACCAAGCGCACAAACGCTCATACCAAATCCTTTCGCTACCTCACACTTAGTACCAAATCCGAGAAAGAAAGCTGGACCAATGGATATAATAGGTTAGTCTCATAAATATATATAAAGCTGTCTTAGTAAGTATCATTTAACTTTCCATTTACTCCACAGGCTTGTCCGGCTATACAAAACTCACTGATGGCGAACGTAAACTGTGCAGCGTTGAACGTATTGCACCACAAGCTTACTTAGATTATAAGAATATATTAATAGCTGAGAATATGAAAATGGGTCACTTGCGTTTGGCCGATGCCAGGCGTCTAATCAAAATCGATGTCAATAAAACACGTCAAATGTATGACTTCCTCATTGAAAATGGCCATATAAATAGACCAACGTGATGTGTTGGAATTCTGGCGTCACGGCGTCACAGTAAGCAAACTGTGTACACTTTAAGTTTAATGACCTTCTATAGATGTTAGTCTAAGCTGACGTTTCACTTGTATTTGACGTACATATGTATATTTGCGCTGCTATTTGGCGGATAAATAGTTTTGTAAAAAAAATTGTGTGCTTTTTAATTCACAGAGTTCGAAAATGCCGAGACGCTGCTTATTTCCGAAGTACACATGCTGCTGGATCATCGGAAAAGGCAAAACGAATCCGCCGATGAGGAGCAGGAGTTCTCTGAGGTTTTTATGAAAACTTATGCGTATACGGACAGCTTTCGTAAGTTTAAAAATAAGGAAACAATTGCGGCGGTGCGCAGGTTAGTAATACGTAACAGATATTCTTTTTAATATTACTATGAGCTTAAATTCTCTTTCTCTCTCTCTTCAGTCTGTTAATGCAGAAAAAATTACACAAATTCGAATTGGCTGCCCTCGGTAATTTATGCCCTGAAGCGCCGGAAGAAGCTAAAGCGTTAATACCATCGCTGGAAGGGCGTTTTGAGGATGAAGAGTTGCGACAAATACTGGACGATATAGGAACGAAACGTAGTTTACAATACTAATGAGTTTTATGCATTTTTATTTGATTATTATAATTAAAAACTAATATATCAAGATTAATTTATAAAAAAAGGTGGAGAACATGTTTTGTCCAATGCAATTACTACTTATAAGTTTCTTTTGGTGTGTAGAACAAATATTTCACTTATTGTATAACATACACATATATGTGAATAATAAAAGACTTTCAAGTGTAAGCTATTTATAATATAATTAAACTGTTTTATTTTTTATCTTAATTTAATAATAATTGGGGACCATAATCCCTTCTCATGAAAATCCATATGACGGTAAGTATTTATCAACGATGCCATTTATGATTTTAAATCAAGAGGCACCATTTTGAGAGAGTCCATTTCCAGTATTCCAACAAACAATCAATTGTAAAAATTCTATGCCTCATTTTATTTATTCGAAACTCAGGTGTGGGCTGGTTTTGCTACTCTGTACCCATAAAGCTGTCAGAATATTTCACGGAACTGCACACATATCATGCCTACACATAAAGGCAATTATACATGTCATACATACATATCACATTCACCCAATTTACCTACCTTTGAATAATGGTGAAGTGTGTCTGGAAAAGCGAAAGTAATAAAAATATGGGAGCATGCAATTAAATTCATTTATTTTATTAGCTTTGTTTACATTTCAGCAGTTTCGGTGTTTGTTTTCATCGCTACGAATTTCGGTCAATGTTGTCTATCTTGTGTGTCTTAAGCTCAATTTTTTTTATATTAATGCTTATTTTTTAGCTTTTAATTCCAAGTTCAATATCTTTCCTTGACTACCGCATGACAATGTAACGACAACGACATGCCTATTTAGCCATTGTTGGTGAAATCAGTATAATGCGTAAATATTTATTTGTACGAGCATCGAATGTAGTATGCATGTGTGTATATGTGTTTATCGAATTTTGATATATCCAAATATGTGTTATTTTTACTTTATACAAAAATTTTTTTTATTAAATTGATTTTTTATTTTATTATTTGGTTCCATTTTATATTATTTTATTTTTTATTTATTATTTTTAATTCAATTAGAATAATTTTTTTATGTATATTTTGTACTATTTATTTAATTTAATTTTATTTTATATTTTTTATAATTTTAATCTTATTGGAAACATATTAGATTCACAATTTTATTTTAATTTCTGTTATTTTATTTTACCTTATATTATGTTTATTTTATTTTATTTATTTTGATTAATTTTTCATTTTTTGTATTTTTTTTTTAAATTATTTTGCTTCATTTCTGTTTATGCTATATTATTTTATTTCGTTTTGTTTCCTTTTTTATATTATATTATGAATTATTTCACTTCGTTCCATTTTATTTTATTTTGTTTTCTGTTATTTGAATTTATTCTATTTTATTTCGTTCTATTTTATTAGCTTTTATTTTTTTATTTATCTTAGTTTACTTCGTTTTATTATTTTATGTTTTAATTCTCTCTATTTTATTTTAATTAATTTTATTCTATTTTATTTTATTTCTTTTTTTTGCTCTAATTTTTAATTTTAGTTTGTTCTAATTTATTTCATTTCATTTTATTTTGTTTTATTTTATTTTGTTTAATATAATTTTAATTTAATTTAAAACATATAATATTTTTATCAGGTGTACAACTTTGCTACCGCCGTTTTGCGATAGGTGGGTTTACCGGCTGAGGCTGATTTCGATGTCGAAGACAAACATGGTGGGGGAAGAGAAAAAACCTTCAAAGATTTACTACGAGCTCTTAAAACCGGATGAAACTATCACACGAGATCGCTACCGAACGCAACTGATGCGCCTTAGTCGCGCGCTAAAAGAAAAGCGGCCACAATATCAAGAGCGATATGACAAAGACATCCTCCAACACGACAATGCTCGGCCTCACGTCGCAAAAGTGGTCAAAAAGTACCTGGAAACGCTGAAATGGGAAGTCTTGCCCCACCCGCCGTATTCTCACTGATGTCGCCCCTTCTGACTTCCACCTATTCCGTTCGATGGCACACGGCCGGGCAGATCAACATTTTCAATCCTTCGAAGAATTGGAAAAATGGATTGCTTCATGGATAGCGTCAAAAGAGGACTCCTTTTTTCGAGCTGGGATCCGAAAATCGCCGGAAAGATGGGAGAAAGTTGTCGCTAGCGAAGGGCAATACTTTGAATAATATATCTATAAGCACTTTTTCGCAATAACACTTTTAATTTTGGAAAAAAGACGGCGGAAGCAAAGTTGTACACCTAATATTTTACTTTGTTTGAGTTTATTTTATTTCTTTTCGTTTTACTCTAATTCTTAATTTTATTTGATCTTTTTTATTTTATTTTCTTCTATTTTATTTCGTTTTATTTCATTACATTTTATTTTATCCTTTTTTTTATTTTATTCTTTATTTTATTTTATTTAATTTCATCATTTCAAAATTTGTTTTATCTTATGCTTTATTATATATATTTTTTTTAAATTTAATTAAATTTATTTAATTTTTTAAAATTTTTTTAATTTTTTTATCTCTTTTCTTGTAATTATTTGAATTCAATTTTTTTAATACCTTTAACGTCGAATGAAATATTTTTTAACAACCTGTTAGCCAGCCAGCTTAGGCGTACCGCTAGTCAACGCTCGGTTACATAATTTCATTGAGTTGTTACTGCAAGCTACATTAGTTGAAAAGCTTTAAGAGCAGATCAAATTCAGGTTTTCATTAGACTTTGTCAGAGATTTGCTCAAATCGTTTTTGTTTGGTTAAAATGGTAGCTACTGCCGTACATAGACTAGTATCTAAATAGTCCATTTACGACTGAGCTTAGTTTCTTCATAAAAAGGTTGTATTTAGAATGTATACGTACAGAAAGAGAAAGGTCCTGGGAAAGTTCAATGGCATAGCACACTGCTAATATTTTGTTCCTGGTTGCTCCAAGGAATCCAGAAACATTTTTCGAACTCTTTAACTCATTTCAGATGGCCTACTAACCATTTAGCTCGCAGTTGTGGTATGTTCTTGTCAGCGCAGGATCAGGTAGTTCTATATAACATGCGCTGTGTATGGTTTCCATTACAGTATTAACCAAATTTTCTACAACGGGTCGTCTGGCCTCATAATTAAAGCGAGTTCTGCCGCATGAGCTTCAGTAATTCCTTGCCTTCATTCACGATTGATGCGCAGAGCGTGTACTTACCTCGTCAGACAAACTCTCTTTCATGTATTATCACACAGCAACTCCTAAGCCCTCAAGAAGCTGTGAAAGCGTAAGCCCGATCTGTATTTTCCAAATGTTTTATAAGCACGCGCAGGAAAAAAGGCATCCATTAGGCTTTCAACACGCAAAACGTGGAATAAGCCAACTGCGCACCACGAGCGCTGAGTAAAAGTGAAATGAAAAGTACACCAAAGCTGCTTAGAAGCTTTGCGGAGACGCGACGACAGCGAAAAACGAAAAAAGCACCTATCAAATAAGAGCCAGTGGAAACCGCAGCGACAGTAGCAACTAAGTTGAGAGGCCGTACAACTTAGCGCAGTTGTTGCTGCGATGGGAAATACGCGTACTAAATGTAATCATGGACAGCGAACGCCGACGAATAGATATATATTAGTCAACTTTAAGAAAAACTCTCCGTATCGACAAGATTGAAACGGCTGCTGGCTGGCCCACATCCACACACACACATACACATGCATGCATATCTATTAAGGTGTATAGAGATTACTTGCGCTGATTGTGGAACGGGTCGCGGTGCTTGGAGCGAGATTACCGAGGCTGCGCGATTTCTATGGAGAGACTACCGCTTGGGAGACAGAAAAAGCTAAAATATGTATCAATGTATGGATGTACATACATATGCATATGTATGTTTCTCATACTAAATTTATTTGTATTTGCCACACAAAAACGCCGTTATCTAGCATGCTCGTCTGTTTGCGTTTATTGACTTTGCAATGTTTTTGTATCAATTTGTGTAGACTCGAAAGCGTATAGAGATATTATTATTTATTATGTTTTTATTTTTCGACTCCGCACCAGCACCACAGCAGCAGCGACAGTTGCCGTCGACGTACGAAGATCAAAGCTTGTTTGTGCGCCTCAGCGACGCGGCGTGCAGATACATTGAGTCAGTCAGCGGTGATCAGCGAACGACGAGTAGCACCAAAGTAAGCTCAACGGCGGTGGTAGATGATTTTTTTTGTTGCTGTTTTCCACTCTTCCTCTTCTTCTGCTACTACTTTTGAAAATAATTCATTAAAATATCGAACTCTTTTTTGGTGTCGGAATTGAAAAGACGCGTGTGAAACGCTTGAAACGCGTATCCGTAAGAGTTGGCGCAAGCAAAACACGCGGCGTGCGAGCCACAAAATCATATCGTAGCCTCAACGATCAATTTCCATCGATCTTTTTCGCTACGAAACGAGCGTTTGCTCAGTTAATTTGCTGATTTTTCAAAATTTTCACATTCATCTGTGTGTGTGTGTGTGTATGTGTGATAATAATATTCATTATTTGTTTATTTTCATTTTGTCTTTTATCCGCGTTGTGTTGTGTTGTGGCTTGATTTTGTTTTTATTGCCTTTCCAAAGTGTCAAGGCAACAGTGTGTGCGCGAACGGGTGATCCCTAATGATGCCGTCTAGCGTTTCGGTGCTTTGATAATATATGTACATATATATAAACAAAGAAATTCATATTCATTTTCTTCCCGTCTACATTTTCAATATCGTCGATTCAGTGAAAAATATTACACGCTGCGTTAGCGAAAACCCCAGCTGATATAAGCCATTAAGTTTGAAACATACATACAAACATTCCACTGAAGACAAAATAATACGTGACGTAAGCAAGAAAATAAACTAACGGTGAGTGGTGTAAAAGTTAAGGTGTTTCATTAAAAGCTGAAGAAAAGTAACAGGCATAGACATACATACATATGTACATACACACACGCATGTAGTGCTCGTACTCGCTCATCAAATGACACCCAAAGAAGTGCTGTGCTGCTGTTTTCAAAAGCTTGTTGGTGAGTGTTTGTGAAAAAAAAAATATTAAAAAGAAAAATAATAAGAAAATAAAAATAAAAACCCAACAAAAACTTTGTAGGAAAGAAAACTGCATGACGGTATATTTTATATAAGTTTATATTCATATATATATATTTATATATATATATAAGCAATTATTATGTATGTATTTACGTACGACAAATAAAAATAAACACACGCTATAATAAATGCATTATGGTGCGTTCCAGGCAAAACGGATTTACTCACCACATTTAAACGCCTCGTCATGCGCCTCTAGATCCAATTTGCCATATTTTCCGTAGCTCATCACCAAACCGCTGAATTTTGACTTGTTCTCGTTGTTCGATGAAGCTCATTAAAGGTTTTGCGAGTGTGCGTAGCTCAAACGCTTGAACTGTTCGAGCAAAGTCTTGAGCTCGAGTCTCGACCAAATATAATATGCTTGCGAGAGTATTTTCCACGCCCTGGTTGTAGCTTTGATATACACACTCTTTTTTGTATGTCCTTGAGCCCTTCGACATACCAAAAGGTGCATATCCGAGCTCGACTCGATTTTTAGCTCCTAAGCTGTCGAGCTTTTTAATCATGATTCCTTTATTAGATGTACGACATTGTGGTAAAACGCACTACGACAGAGCAATCGAAGCAAATAGCGAGGAAGACATTGGCATTTGATCAAACTCGGTGTGATTTTCACTCTTCACACTTAGGATCTGTCATTCCGCTTTAGTGTTTTTGGCCCACGAATCCATACGATCAGCTTACAATCCAAGCTATCAAATAATAATTCTCAACTTTCTCTTAGCTGAGAGACCCGTAGTGTTCCTGAAAAGTTGCCCGGATGACTAAGAATATCAATTAATGCGTTGAGAAGTGGTTCTCGAACTAAGGAATTAGTATTAATATTATTTTGAGAACACATTTTCCGCTACAAAGTCCTGAATCTAGTATCTGCGGCTTTAATATTGTCTCTCAACCTGGGAAATCACACATTTCCGTGGGAATTATAAACATTGTTGGTTAGCAAAACTTGCTGCCGTCTCTAGAGTGAGACATTAATGCTTAACGATTTCCTCATGTCACTGCAGTTATCGGGAAACCTAAACCAATTGGACTAATCTTCTTGGGAACCTAGAGTTGTGTCTCTGATAGCCAAATCAACATTTTTGTATTACTTCCTCACCCAGGAATCGGAATTGACGGGCACACAAACAAGAGTTGGTGGCAGATCCTCTCCATCACCTCTCAGCGTTAGACTTACATCAACCTGGCTACCTGTGGTGGATTTGCATTGCACTGGCCCCGAAATTCTAGAAATCTTCATATCTATAAAGTTCCACATGCAAATAATTATTGTAAAATTAAAAAAAAAAAAATATCTGACACGCTGGTAAGCTCTCAAACGTGCGTTCATTTCGCATGGAATGCCCCTTCCATTCCATCTGCTCATATTCAATTTTAAAGACTACATGCAATTTGTGGAACCGTTATTTCTTCGCTCTCAGTACGAATGCATATGTAATTATGTATGTGCATGTGTACGTGTATGTGTATAGTCGCTTGTGGGTGTCGTGACACATTATATATTGTGGAGGCTGCAAGCACGAACACCTTCAACACCACACGCTTACATACATACATACATAAGAGCGCATACTAGTACGTCGCTTTATCACAGCGCTAAAATTGTCAAACGTACACTTATGTACATACATATGTATGTTTGTCTGTATGATCAGCAACAATTGCCACGGCGAGTCATTGTAGTCACAACAGTAAGTGAATTAGACGCTGAAGCAACCACACGCTCTTACGTAGATTGGCCAGCGCTGAGGTGACGCGTGTGAGTGCCGGTAAAAATAAATAAAATAAAAACAAAAAACTAAGGAAATTTAGGAAAACAGCAAAAGATTTAAATTTGAAAGTTAAATAGTGGTGAATGAACATTTGTGGCTAAAAACGGCAATAAAATAATGTAACATGAATTTGAGCCATTTCAATATATATTTATATACAATTTCAAAAATTCAATAAAACCTTTAAAAAAAATTTAAAAATCAACATTTTGCGGAAAAATCACACACAAGTGTATAATTTATCACTATCTACATAACAACGGTAATGTAACAAATAGCACATGAAAGCAATTAAGAGTGAATTATATTAAAAACAGTGAATGCAAAAAGTTTAACACCACAAACGAACGATTTGAAAAGAAATAAAACTAAATTTAAACAAAATAGAAAGAAAATGATATAAATTAATACCAAACAATAAAAAATAAATTAAAGTAAAATAAAAAACAAATAAAAAAAAAATAAAGTAAAATATATAATTAAAAAAAATAAAATAGAGTAAAATAAAATAAAATTAAATAAAATAAAATAAAATTAAATAGAATAAAATAAAATAAAATAAAGTAAAATAAAATAAAATAAAATAAAATAAAATAAAATAAAATAAAATAAAATAAAATAAAATAAAATAAAATAAAATAAAATAAAATAAAATAAAATAAAATGACATGAATCAAATATTGTAGAATTAAATATATCAAACGATTAAAATAAAATAACGGAAATTAAATTAAATAAAATGAACAAAAATAAAATAAAACCAATTTAAATCAAATGAAATATAAAACAATAAAAAAATTAAAATAAAATAAAAAAAACGTTAAATTAAATAAAAATAAAATAAAATAAGTTAATATAAAATCAAGTAAAATAAAATAAAGTAATATAAATTGAAATCCAAACATAAAAAATAAAATAAAATAAAAATTTAAAAAAATAAAATAATATAAACCATAAAAAATGAATTAAACTAGGATAAAAAAATAAATAAAATAAAATAAAGTAAAACAAAATAAAACAAAAGAAAATAAAATAAATTAAAATGCAAAAATAAAAATTAAATAAAGTAAAAAATAAATATATATGCAAAATTAGTATAATCAATTAAATAAAATAAAACAACATAAAATAAAAAATAAAAAAAAAAACAACATAAAATAAAAAAAAAATTATAGTAAAATAAAAATAAATAAAAAAGAAATATTAAAATAAAATGAATAACACTTGGTTAAACCTAAAGAAATTAATGAATAAAACAAAAAAATAAAATAAAATAATAAAAGTAAATTAAAATTAAATTAAATATATAGAAGCAAATGAAACGAAAAAAAGAGATGAACAAATAAAGAAAAATTATAGTTAAATATAATAAAATAAAGTAAAGTTAACATAAAATGAAATAAAAGTAAAAATTAAAAAAAATTTTTCTTTTAATTTTCCATTCCAATTCCATTCTTTCACTTCAGTAATTGTCGATTGTTTGTTGACTGCTTGGCGAAAATGAGAGCGATCATTTTGGTTTTCATCATCATTAGCGTAAAGCTCATTTCTTAAATTTTTTGTCTGTTGTAGCCACATATTTTTAACAGAGAACACCTGTGTATCTCCACACAAGCATTTTTTAGATGCCAAACCAAATAGCTTGTGTAACTTAAAACGAATAAGGGTATTCACATTGTATGGTATTATGTATTAGTAAACAGTTTACTAAATTTTTTTTAGACTTTCAAAAAAAGGAAAAAAATCTAAAAATAAAATCGAGTAACAAAAAAGGACAAAAAATAGTTGAAATTGTAAAACATTTTAGTTTGTAAATGTTGCTATATTTACATATATATCACCTGTAGTCTTTATGTATTTTCCTTTTATAAAAAGTTGATATTTTTATACGAAAAGTCGCATTTGACTCAGTTATTATAAATTCTCTCTCTATTGTCAAGCTCAGCTGATTGCATCAATGCATTATAATTTGTTTTGTTTTATTCTCTCCAAATAGTAGTAATAGTACATAAATTTTCCGAACCATCTATCTACCCAACTGATTGTCATCGTACTCAATTATTATAAATTCCCCACAATCTACTAATTCAGTCATCCATCTAAACAGCTTTCAAGCATGCAAACGTGCAACATATGTTTACATACATTTTTACATTCACACATATATCTTTACATCCATATATATGTACACTTGTACAAACACTTTCGCATGCAACGATATGGAACCCATTCATCATACGTACGTGTATGTATGTATGTGAGTATACGAGTGCGAGTAGATGAATTATATTGTATGCTCATACATTTCGACACCTCAACTTTTGGCTTTTGGCTTTCAGTTTTGCGTCAATGGCGTCATGTATGTAAATGCATTAAATTTACGTACAAACACTGCATAGAAAATTAAGTCAAAAATTAAATCGTGAAATTTGAAAATAAATTGAAAAGTAAAGCCCATAGAAAACACATTAAAAACGAATAAAACAATGAACGGATGCTTTTTCTCATTGCATGCCACAGCCAATTATTGGCGCGTCCATCTTTCACCGCCATCAACTGTGTTGATTTGGGAAAGACCCAGTAGGAAATATTTGATCATTTTGCTTAGTTATTTTTTTATTATTTAATATTTTATTTTTATTAATTATTAAAATATATGTATATTTATTGATACGGTGCAAGTTTCTTTATAAAATTTTATTTTAATTAAGTACACAATAATCGACTACAAAATAAATGAACCCCCTTACGAAAACGTTTTTTTGCCATACTTTGGAACCCCCTTAAGCATAATCGAGTCACAAAACCTTTTAAGTTAATTCTTTTCACGCCCTCACAACTCGACCTCGCAATCTTCAATCATCTTCATCGCAGAAACAGCCATCCTTCGAGTTCTCCATTATCCAGTCCAAATACTTTGTGACGCGCGTATAAACACCCGGATAGTTGGGCCTTGCGCAACCATTACCCCACGACACGATGCCAATCTGTTCGAAACGTTTATCATCAGGACGCATACGCACCAGCGGACCACCCGAGTCACCCTGGCAAGAGTCACGCTCACCCACACCCGGATAACCGGCGCACATCATATTCTTCGTAATCATCTTTTGTGTATAATTAGTTTGCGCGACGCAATGTTCATTATCCAACACTGGCACCTCCACCTCCTGCAGCAAACACGATGGCTTACCATCTTCCTTCAACGTGCCCCAACCTGTGGCTATACCTTTGGTGCCGACAAAAAGATCATTGCGTTCGAAGGTGCGTGGCAAACAAATTGGTCGAATGAAACTCGTTATGGGCACACGATCATTCAGACGCAGCAAGGCGATATCGTTATCGAAATTGGAGAAACTGAACTTTTGACTGAAGGCACGTAGCACGAAACGTGTTTCGGGTCGCTCTTTATCATTGCAGCGATCGTGCTCGCCGAAGGTCACTTTAATCATAAACCACATGAAACCCTTAACGCAATGTGCGGCGGTGAGTACGTAGCGATCGTTGATCAGTGTGCCACCGCAGTAGAAACGATTGAAGTAACTGAGTCGCGCCATCCAAGGGTACTCACTAACACCGGCAGTCTGGCCGCCAACAATGCGCGACTCGTCGTTGCGCTCGCCACATCTGGAATGAGAGAAAAGGAAAGGATTAGAAATAAATTAGGGATGAGAAAATATTTTCGAGTAGTTATTTAAAAAGTTGTTCAGACAATTGAAAAGTAAATATGATCTTTCGAAGAGCTAGACGGATTTATTGTCAACGAATGTTGTAGAAAGCTTTTTCATGACCAAAATACTCTCTTCAGTTGAGACAAAGTTAACTAGCCCAGCGGACCAAGCTCTATCTCGTCATGCATATACAGTAACAACTTAAAAGTGATTAAACTGGGTTTAGAGAAACTACTTGGAATACTTTTTGATCATGGTATCGGCAACGATTCCAAATGAATGTCTCTTAGAATGAATACCACCAGAGAAACGATTGAGTTTTGAAAAAGATAAATCAACTGTTCGGAAGACCACAGAGTTCGAGTTCAAGTTCAACCAACTTCCAAAATTATAGAAAATTAATTTTTCTAATTGATGTCGCCGCTCAGCAGGTTTTTTCTGTACACGGCTAAGTACATGCCTAAACTGGCTGTTACCAGGAAAGCTGACTCACGATGGTTGAATGAGATCACGTGTAACGTGACCAGGCAGCTATGGCCAAAGTTAGACCGGTTCTCCATAAGCTTAGAGACGGGTGTAATAACTGGACACAGTTTCATGTGGCTTCACGGGATTAGGATGGGCTTTTATTCTAACGAATTCTGCCGCGGCTGTAGAGACAAAGAAGAGGAGGAGACCATCGAGCACTACCAGCACACAAAATGGTTCGATGATCTGAGAAGGTGAAGGCAGGAGCCTCAGCAATATCACATCGGTCCTATTGGTCTGAGTGTGTTGGGGTTTGACCAGCAGCCGCATCAACTCAACTCGGCAGGTATTTGACCTCGGCCGAAAACCTCTACGCAGAGTTGCAGCTGTTTGAAGACAGGCTGATTCACAAGTAGATCACCTTGGTAGGTGACTTGGCGGTCCATGTCAGGAGCATACTGATATTTTGGAGAGAATAATTCTCGTGCCTGCTTTAGTCCAGCATTTAGACAACGACCAGAGGTGATGAGTCTATATCCGTTATCGTTGACTATGATACAGATGAACAAAGTCCGATCGAAATATTAAAGTTTGTTTGTTTAAGAGCAGAGGAGATCGTTAATCTAAATTAGTATGGTTTCAGTCGAATAAACTCACCGTCAACCAGATATTCTTGCTGGCTGAGTATGTCGCTTGGATGGATCAAAACACTCCAACTTTGAATGTTTTCGATGCAGTATCAGCCGGTAGAAGCAGATAAGTGGAACATGCCTAATACGGTGAAAATATCTGGCTTAGAGGCACCAGACTTCCCTTGGTATCTCCTATTGGCTCCAAAAAGATTATGAAAAATGCTAATAACGCTTTAATCGGCTATATCGGTGTGTCTACTTCAACTAAAAAGGAAGAAGAACTCTACCTTTACCGTCACTTTCCCTTCCAAAGACTTCATTTTATCTTAGATAAGGTTCAAGAGAATCCCCCGAGCGATAAATGCGTGGCCAGGCAAAGGAGATTTCCCAAGAACTCCGCGAATAAAGAGACAACCAATATAGATTCTTAAACTAATTTTGCCTATAAATGTTGATTAACTGCTGGTTATTTTTACACTCATATAATTTAATTAAAAATTTCACTAAATTTCTCTCCACTCATAAAATCTCTGAAAATTTGTAATTTATAGCAATAAAAAATGTCAACAAAGAATACGAATTTAATGAAATAATTATTGTACCAACAAATACTTGTGCGGCAATTAAGTGGCAAATTATGTTCTTCAAATACAGGCAGACATACACGTACATATGAGTGAGTATGTGTGTAACTCCACTGACAAGTGTCAGATTTATGCCCGCAAAGCCAATTATTCACGCACTTAAGTGTGAAATCTGCGTTACAAACCTTGCCAGAGGCCAAAAGCCACCAACAACGCGTGCTGCCGCTGCCGCCAGTGTTGTTACTGCTGCTGCTGTTTGTTGAATGTCTCTATGCGCATAGCCTATTAACATAATTTCATAGCAATTATCAGGTGGTATGTACATGTGTACGTAATGTTGTGGTTGTGTGAATGTAAAAATTGTAAAACAGCGTTGGAGAGATTCTTCATTGCACACGTCGTAGGCAGAAAGTGAATTTTGCGCAATTTTTTTTTTCTTGAAACGATGTATATACGAGGCATAAAAGTGGCAGCATTATTTAGGAGGAGGAGTAGGAGGAGGAGGAGGAACTTTTATTAATGTTTTCTTCTCATGCATATTTGTTGATATACTTTTGTTGTTATAAAATAATCATGAATATTGTTATTTTTATTAATTTTCTACCTTTTTGTTTTAGCAGTATTTAATATACAATAATATATATGTATATATATATATATATATATATATTGTTTATTTGCAAGTTCTGCTTTAAGCGGAGCAAAGCACTCTTCTGCTTGGTAGTTCTGCAATTCTCCGATTTTTTCGTTTGCTGCATAAATTAAAAACAAGTTGAAGAGATAAATTATTATTTAAAACAAGTTTTTCGTTATGCTGTTGTTGTTGTACAGCTGCTGCTGCATAACTTTCAAAATAAAACTAGCGTATAAGAGATGATACCAAAAAATCAAAAAAAAAAAAAAAAAAATCGCTGCTTCAAGAAAAAATGCCTTAAGAGTTTTTTTATGTGTCATTTATCTCATTTTTTTCTCCAGTCATTCTTGTTTTTCATCCGTAATCGCCCTGCGCTCTTGTTGATTTAAATGTTCATATATTTTTTATTTTATTTTACTTTCATTTTATTTTGTTCTTTACTCTTTGAATCTTTAAAAATAATACAGTTATTGGAAAACCAGTTTTCATTAAAACAACAAAAATAAATATGCAAATAAAAATAATTGTAAAAAGAAAAATCTTTTTAAAGTGTCTTTGTTAGCTTAAAATTGCCAAATCTGATGCAGTTGTGCGTCTGAAGAGGTAGCCATGTGTGCAAAAGATTTGTGCAACACTCGCAGTCGCATACATTTTTATTTTTGTAATAATGAATTAAACTCTTTTATTTTTCTGTTATTTTTTTTTTTCTTTGCATTGTCTGTTTATTAAGCAGAATTTTGCTTCTTAATCTTTTGTGCTTTTTTGTATTGTTTTTTTTACTATTGATTTTTTTTTATTATTTTTGTGTCGTTCGCATTTTTCTGATGAGATGTCAATGACCTAACGTTTATTTTTTCGTCTTTTCTTTATTTTTATTTTAATTTTTAATTTTATTTTTATTTTTATTTAATTTTATTTTTATTTTTATTTAATTTTAATTTGTATTTTTTTTTATTTTTATTTTTATTTTTATTTTTATTTTCATTTTTATTTTCATTTTTGGTGGGTTACGCTTAATCCAAGTTTTTATGCGCGTTATTTACCATTGCAATCTGTGGCATATTTTTAGGCGTTGCTTTTATTGTATTCTTTGCTTGCACTTCTCAAATGAGCAGTGGAAAAAATCTTAGTTACATATGTACAATTGTAATATGCTGTTAGGGCTGGCTTGTCCGGGAAATACCATAATGTGTATGAGGACGACCCGATACCGGACAGCAGCATCTAGGTAACTATCCAAAAACTTGAAAAATTTAACTATGATCGACTGAAGAATAAAAAACTCGCAGAAATTGTTGAAGTATACGATAAAACCATCTTCAAAATCCTGCCCGATCATCTTGGCATGACTAAGCCCAGCACAAGATCAGTGTCGAGAATGTGCACGCTTCCGCCAAAACAACTGGCCACCAGAGCCGCGCTACGTTGGCGATACTGGATGAGGTGGGCTTCAATATTTTGAATCAGCCACGCTACAGATAGGACCTGGCACCGATTGATCTTTAGCTGTTCTTAAAATTAAATAAGAGCTGAGGAGTAAAAAATTGATCATCGATAATGAAGTGAGGGAAGCAATTTCTGATAAATGTATCCATCTTGTACGTGAATACATTTAGAAGGAAAAATGAAAACTTTTTATATAGTATTTTTTTTTCAATATTGACTATTTTAAGATATTTTTCAAATTTTATTCTTTCCATTAAAATTAAAAGAAGACATGATAGCAGTCCGGCACACTTCGTATTGAATACGCTTTGGCTCAAACAGCATTTTCAATTCAATTCAATTTCAGCATGTATTTTTTTTTTAATTGCAATAAACAGTTAATCATGCAATACAACAACAAGTGCTAAAGTTAAAACTAATTTACTGAAAAAACGACTGCACAAATGCATAAATAAATATATTGATTTACATATATTCCGACGCCATCCTGTGAGTTGAGCTAAATTTCCACTTCCCACTGAATCGCTGCCACTGCGACGCGTGCAACATTTACTCAAGAAAAAGCGCATACAATTGCATTAGAATGACAATTGGCAAAACAAATAGTCAGCTGCTGGCACACATATGTATGTACGAATACAGCCAGCCGGGCTTACAGCAACATTAAGTGCAAATAACTGCGGGGTGCACGACAGAGGAGTACATACCTACATATGTATGTATGCAACGTTACGCAAGTGGCACTTAGAGATGCGCATACGGTGCGCACGGCTACATGTTGTATGTTGCATGTTGCATGTTGAAAGTTACTACAGAGAGGCATACTTTATGCCTCCGAGCTGTGCTGTGTTAGATATTTCTTTTATGTACATATGTACATATGTAAGTTTGTTTCCATTGCAACTTTTATTGACAACACGACACAAATGCATCGTCGTTCGGTTATTTATGCCACAACAATAAAATAAATAACAACATTTGTTATGCCGTTTTGCTGTTACACACACTCAAATGCACACACGCACATACGATTCGTTGCATTCTTTATTGATCTGCTTTGGCTGACGCAGCATCTTTCTGGCTCCTCAACTCGTTTAACCATAATCGAGTCGCTCCAATCGATCGTTGCATCAATTCTGTGAAGTATTACGTAAGCAATTGATTTTGATGCCGTTGTTTGTTGACTTTTACACACATTTTGTGGCACTTTTTCATTGCGATTTATTTTGCATTGTTGTGAGCGTTTTATAGCTATGGATGACTTTTCATTTTGTTGGCTGTATTTACTTATTGATTTGTATGGGATGCCAGGAAGTAATCGTGGATTCATTGTAAGGAATAAAAAATGATAATAGACAAGAAGGAAGAGCTAACTGCGGACATGCTAAAGTCTTCATACCACACACGACCATATCAAAATTATGCTACGAAATTTTAGCCTAGAAATAACAGTAGAACCCTGAATCTTAACCTTAATTTTAGTCCCAGAGCTCCTTGAAAAAATGAATCTTCTCTTTTCCTTTTTTTCGAAGAAATGCGGAGTTGCTCCTGAAGGTAGATCCATCTCAAATTGATCTTACTCACCGAGGTGTTTTCCTTTTTCTCTTTTCATCGAGTACATTATGGAAAACTTTCAAAGCTGGAATGTTGTTTTTATCCATCCGCATGCCATGACAGACAATAAAGAGTCTCAAAAACTCCAAGTGCTGACTCATGAAACGTTGGTAATGTAAACCTGCTCCAGCGCCTTACAATAAGATGGAGTGATGAGTCACTTTTCTTGCCTGAAGTAACATGTACCTGCTGGCATTCAAGGCTGACACTGTTGCTGGTATTGATACTTGTTGGAACGACATCCAAGCTTAGTGAGAGCCTAAGGCGCGAGAGCGCTCTATGTTTGTTTGACGCCGGAAAATATTTCATTTACTGCCAGACTCCGTCGCTTCTCTTCCTTATTCAGCTTCGACCCTTATCCTTGTTATTCGTCAAGTTATTCGAAATGTGTTTCCATGGCGGAGGTAAGCAGGGACTTGTTATGTTGACCCATAACTCTCTTTGTAGAAGTCATTGACGCACATTCTTTCGATTTACAGAGGCGAATACGACAAGATGGTTTTCCAAGTCAATGTTAGTGTTTCAGAGGGTGCGCACATCTAGGAAACCGTCTACCAGGACACGTTCCGTTTTGTAGGGAACCTTACTTTAATGAGACGGTCCTGCATGAAACAACGTTTCGGACCCTGACCCTGAAAGTTAGTCCCATCACATTTGAGGAGGATTCGTAGTAAAGAATTTCAGTGAGAGAAAAAGTTGCCGAAACTTTTCTAATATTCTTTAAAGTTTAGCAAACTTTTCCACAACCACAAAAGCTAACAAACAAAAATGTAGGTTAATAACGAGCAGGAAAAGAACAGGATGGCTGACGTGGAAATTAATTTCCTTCCATGCAATTAAAAATGAAAAAAAAAAATCCTTATTGACAGATGTCATTAGCAGAAGTTGTGCCAGAAAACCGCTTCCTTCGAGCAAAACAAGTAGATTGTGTTTACATAAGAAATAAATAAAATATAAACATAATCGAGTCAGGCCATGTGCAGTGTTGCATTCGGCGGCTTTCAATGCTCATAACTGTTATATTGCGTGTGCAGCACTCAAAGATGACAAAGACAAAGTTTTGTGCGGCTGTAGACGGGGATAATGCTGGTGCTGCAGCTGTCACTGATGGTGATGATGATGACGAGGAGATTTTGCTGACGATAATACAAAAAGAAAGGAAGAAATGCTGCATCAAAAGAAAAAAGCTTATCAATTGCGTGCCAATATTAACTTCCTTTAAGCCAACACGCAGCGTAGCAGGGGAATAAGAACCGAAGCATGAGTTGGCAGCTCCATTGGCGCTTTGGATAAGTAAGTGTTGGCACTAGTTTGGTTTTGCTTGCTCGTTGACGGCTTTGTGATATACAAGTTTAGATTAGGGGGGTTCGTAATAGATTGCCAGATGCTTGAAGTTGGAAAATTATCTTGGGGATCTAACATTCAATAGAGAGCTTATAGAGTTATTGGTCGTCTTACATTTTTGTAGAGTGTCTCTATGAATCCAAAGATATTGAGTTACTGTTCAATTTGAAGCATGCAATTGTGAGATGTCTTCAAAGACTCAACTACATCCTCGAAATTACAAGTCCCTTTGTCTTTGATTCGGGTCGTAAGAAAAAATTCACTACTAGAAGTGATTTGACTGGTTGGGGCGCCTAACAATGAAGCGCAGTGCACTCTCTATCAGAATGGTCGTGGCTAGTTGAAAGAGAGCTGGCAACTGGCTGAAAGTATTACCTTTTTTACTGTTCTGCAGAGTCCTTCCGCTTAACGGTATTTTTAACAATTTAGCGTCTTTTCTGGCTGTGAATTTATGGTGATCTAAAGGCTAGTAAAGCAAGGTGTGAACCCTCTATTTATAGTGTAAGGCATTCTTTAGATAACACGAAAGCTCTGATAACTGCAAAACCAAAGGACTCTGGGGGAATAAGCCCACCTTGAGTTAAAATCACTGGGAAATAAATGCCAAAGAATGCCAATTGTGGTCAATTGTGGTCCTTTCTTTGACCGAACTCGCGTCAGCTGGTCTAGTAACAGGTTGTGCGTGATCGTAAGAACCTGAGTTAGACCGCGAGATAGGAAGAACTCGCCAAGTTGCACCTTTTGGTTTGCGTAGATTAAATTTCATTGCAATTTTACACAACTTAATGTATAAATTAGCTCATTTAAATACCGTTTCAAACCTAAAACGCTAAAATTTGAATAGACACTTTTTGGACCACCTTAATGTTAAGAGATTTATATAAAATTAATCTTTAAAGATTATATGCTTTTCTAATGCCCTCTTTAATACATACGAGTTGATACGAAACATACCTGCAATTGCATGTTGTTGTTGTTGTTGTATCATGTGCTATGGACGCCGCTGCCGACGCTTGTGCGTTATTCCGATTAAATATGCCAAACCAATTTCTGATGGGATTCAATTTGGTGCTTGGAAGCGCAGCAGGTTTGACAACATCCACACGTTGTTGCCGATACTGCTGTTGTTGTTGATGCTGTTGCTGTTGATAATGTTTATATTGCCGTTTTTGCTCCTGTTGCAATTGTTGCTGTGAATGTTTTTGTTGCTGATGATGATTATGACGAGCTGCTGTTGCTGACACATGCACCTTTTTCGCTGTTGGAAAGTGTTGTTGTGTGTAGGCATAATATTTTCCGGGAATTACGATGGATGCGGCGACGGTGGGCGCCTCCGATGTTGCAACATCAGCCAAGCCATGTTTTGTCACTGGCGTAGATGCTGTTGCTACTTTTGCTGTTGTATTTGCTTCTGTTGTTGTTGTAGTTGTTGTAACGTTCAACAGTAGGCAGGAAATTATTATTAGAATAAATTGTAATTGACGTAATTGGAACATTTTCAACATAAACATTTTTTTTCTCCTTTACATATATCCGCAACACATGCACAAACATACACACACACACGCGCACGGACACACTCAGTCAGGTCGTTAACTTAAAGCACTTTGTGGCACTTTTATGCAATATGTATGTATTTATGTGCTTAATGATTATGCAATTAGAAGTGTTTAGTTGCGTTTAAATGCACTAAATATGTGTTTGTTGTTGTTTCTTCGTGATGCTTCGTGATTTGTAGTCTTAGTTTTTCTTTGTTGTTGTAGATTTTTGTGTTGCATGTATTTCAGGTTCAGCTTTTCTATTTGCCGTATTTTTATGCAATCAAAACGGTGCTCTTGACTTGCTTGCAGCCACTTGTTGGTATTTTGTTGCATGCCACTAATTGTGGCAAGACATGCGAGCAACTAACTGTTGATTTTGATGCACTTCACAGCGTACAAATTGCTTTGTATTTTAACTTTTTTTTCGGAATTTGAATTTATATACATTCATACATATTATGAACTAAATTTTTAACAATTGTTGCATCACTAAAATAAAAAAATTATTTTTTTTTTTAATTTTACAAAACAAATCATAAGAACTATTTGAAATTGTTTTATTAAACAATATTTTACCTAATTTCAAAAAAAAAAATAAAATAAAATATAATGAAGCAAAATAATGTAAAATAAATTATATTAAAATGAAATAAAGATCAAAATAATTTAATATCATGTAATAAAATAAGTTTTAACTAATTCAAATAAAATGAATAATAAAATAAAACAAAATAAAATAAAATAAAATAAAATAAAATAAAATAAAATAAAATAAAATAAAATAAAATAAAATAAAATAAAATAAAAAAAAAATAAAATAAAATTAAATAAAATAAAATTAAATAAAATAAAATTAAATAAAATAAAATGAAGATATAATAAAGTAAAAAATATGAGAACTTAAATTATAAAAAAATAGAGCAAAATTAAATAAAATATAATGAAATAAAAAAAATATCATAGAATATAATAAAATGAAATAAAATACAAAAAAATCAATCAAATTAAATTATTAAAGCAAAATTAAAATAAAGTAAAATAAAATACCATGAAAGAAAATTTAAAAAATAACATAACAAAATATAATAAAATAAAATAAAATGAATTAAAAAATAAATAATATACTAAAATATTAAATTAATTTTAATAAATTAAAATAAAATAAATATAATGAATTAAAATTAAATTAAATCATATGCAAATTAAATTATAAAAATAAATAAATAAAAAGGAAACAAAAGCAAAAAAAAAAAAAAATGGAATGAAATATAATGATTTAAAAAGGCTCATAAATAAGCAATAAGTAAAAGGAAATATAATACCAAAACCATATGAAAATAAGAATATGTTTAAACTAAAAATAAAAATAAAGTGAAATAGAATAAAATAAAATTAATTTTAAACAAAGCAAAATGAATATATAATATCATAAAGACTGAAAACGAGTTCATTTTATATTTTCTATTTCTGTGCGTGTCCAATTTTCATTGGACTTCTTCGGACTTGTTTTAGAAAAACTTTAAAAATCTACAAAATCCACTTCTATCTTAAAAAAAATTATTTTTAGCAAATTTTAGTATTAATTTAACAGCTAAGGAATTCCGGGTACTTTTCTCTTTATGTTTGTGCTTCGCTATTATTTTCCATTCGTTACCACACTGTTTAAACTCTCGTCTTTTGTTGTCAAACAAAATTCTTTTATTTGCATACTAAGAATCTCTCTGTTCGGGGTGTCATAAATCACACAGCCGCACACACTAACAAATGAAGTGGCAGTCACAGACAGATAGCGGCATGAAACGGTAATTCACCTAAAATTGTACTTTAAACGCCCAAACTAATTTATGTTAAATACTTTTTTGTTGATCCGTTTTAGAGTTGGAAAAGAGCAGCACAAATTTAGGACAGATAAATCGAAGAGATAAAATGAAATATTATTTTAGTGAGTTTGTTGTTGTGCAATTTTTCAAAAATTGCTCTTTATGTGAACTAGTTACGTTTTGAAAAAAAAAATATATATAAATAAAAAATAAATAAAAGTATAATAAAAAACACTGTTATTAATTGACAGCCACGCACGCGCTTGGTAAAAGGTTTCTCAGCGCCGTGTTGGTTTTTTTAATTTAAAAATTCTCCTTTTTTGTTTATTTCTATGTTGTCGTAACAAATCACCTTTTTATTTTAATCACGTCTTTTTCCAAATCACATACGACACACCAAGCACCCTTTTACGCCACCGCACGTTTCGTTTGCGACGCGTTTACTGAACTTTTTTCAGTTTAGTTTCTGTTTTATGTAAATATATTTAACCAAATTAATTTTTTTTTTCACTTTTGTATGAGCTTCCACACTCCTGCTATCACCGGCACAACGTTACGCGCGAAAGTCTTCAGAGATACTGAATATTGAATGTGGGGGTCTGGTGTCCGATAGCCATGGCCGTGGCCTACGTCTGCGTCCATGTACGCTGCCAATGTGACGCTTGCAATGTCTGTTTGTTGCTACAACACAGTGCTGCTTTTGCGCTGTTGTAGTTGTTGTTCAAACGGACGCTCTTAACGACGCACGCATTGTTTTGTGTAATTGATCTTCGGTAGAGGCAGAACTGCAAGTGCCCGCTGGTCGCGCTGCGTTGACAGGAAAAGAAATAAACAAACAAAAAAAAAAAAAAGAAAAATCAATTAGAACTCTATGTCGCCACTTAGCCGACTAACAAGCTCTAACCAAGGCGCCTCACCCCGATGATTTCCTCCACAAAAATCTGCACTTGTTTTACGAACGTTCAGCAGCTGCCGCCGCCTTGGCCATGGCTTTGAATTTCTTAAACACGACTGCGCGCTCTTCACTGCCTTCGCGGCACACCTATATAAACACACATGTTTTATTTCCTTCAGTCGATGCTGCCCATCAGCGCCAAAGAACACTCCACACATGCGTCGTACACAGCGCGCGCTCAAAGAAAGCCGCTGCCTCTAGCGTGCAAACTCTTTCTTTATATTCTGTGTATGCTTCCACAACCATTCTGCCCCTCCTCTTTTTCCTCCTACTCCTGCTCGTCTCATTTCTTTATTTATTTATTTAGTTACTTTGTTAATCATGTGCGTGTGTGTGTGTATGTGTGGAGTTTGTTAGTTAGTCGGTCAGCCAGATACTGGTATCTTTGCTTTAGTCAAGTTTAGTTGGTCGCTTGGTTTTGTTAGATGTTGTTGTTGAAACAAGGCTTGTTTATTTTTCTTATTTCTGTGCTATTCTTGCGGCGTCGACAGACGTGTGAGCTCGCCTACACAGCATCTGAAGATATGACTATGTGTTTAGCTATGCAAGTGTGTGTGTGTCTGTGTGTGTGTTTGTACGTGTTCTATAACATTGTCGTTTATGCCTCCAGAATAAGTAGCCGACAGCAAACGGCTCAGCAATGGTCAGTTTATGCTAATAGGTTTTACGCTTGGCTGGCGTTAGTCGAGCTAACAAAATACTTGGTCCAATACAGTGAGCGAAACGAAGAGTGAAAATTGAAAAAAAAAAAAAAAAAAAAAAAAAAAAATTTCATGTATCGGTACATTATACCTAAAAAAAAAAAAAAAAAAAAAAAAACGGTGGAGTATTTTGAAGTCCAAGAGTGGAATGATTTTTGGTGAATATTAAAACTTACAAGTATATCGGGATATGAGATATTGACGAGCTCTGAGCGACTCTGTAAATTCTTCATATTTCCCCGCTTACGTTTCTTCAGAGCTTGTTTTCTATCTGTGGGTCACTAGAAATGGCAGAGCTAAGAATTATCCCGAGATGAATTACTTACTCATGGCTAACACCTTGCGACCATGAGGAGGTCTACTATTCTAATTTGAGCCTAAAGCAGTTATGAATCTTCGCAAGGATTTTTTTTAAAAGTATTCTATGTATTTAGATGTGTCTCTGGGACACTGATTTGCTTCTTAAGTGAGCGTCTAGAGTCTATTTATTTTTCGTTGAACTTTAGTCCCCATTAAAAGTAGCACACCAACCAAGTTTGGTCGAAGCGAGTCGGTGGAGTGCAAAAATTCGTTTCATGGACAAGGGCGAGGTTCTTGCCTAATTGCGCTCATATTCGATTCGCAGCATCTCATTATACCTCAATGACCTGGATTTTTTATATAATTGTACCATAATTTGGCTCTTTGAAACCGTTGGAGTGATTTTCGACCGAGCTCCCGCTAATTTGCGGTATGCGTTTTGATGTTTTCCAACAAATGTAGGTACCTACTGTTTTTCCAAACCGCCCCTTAACGGCCGACGGATATTTGCGACGAGCTAATATTTTATATCAGATATACACTCGAAGAGCTGACATTCCCTGCCGAGGGGCGACTACAATTAGTAAAATTAATATTCGTATGTTAGTCGAAACAGGTCTCGGACCCTGGTCTTCAAAGTGGCAGTACGCGATGCTAACCACTCGGCTATGGCTGTCTGGATTTTTACCCCCGCAAACTATTTCCCGAAAACTGTCTGGAAAATGTTTTTACAAGCTTCTAGCTTGTTTAATGTCTTCTGACCAAATGTAGTAAGCCTTTTTTGACCTAGTTTATTAAATCCCATTACTGATGAGAGAGAGAGAGAGAGAGAGAGAGAGAGAGAGAGAGAGAGAGAGAGGGAGAGAGAGAGAGAGTATGAACCAAAGATACCCTTATGGATATTTTTCTCTTTCTCTGTCAACATTTTACTTTTAAACTTGAAAAATAAGCGCATTCTGTGGTACATATTTCCAAAAAGAAAGGCGAGCAATCCAAGCAAAATCTTGAAAAGAGTTATTTTTTTTTAGCACGTGCAGTGAAGAAATTCCATGAATCTTGTAAAATTTAAGATGCACTCATTCCTTTTGTAAAACATAAAGAAGAAATGAGGTCAAATTGAATTAACCGGTTCTTGGGGTTTAGGTGTGCCCTTTTTGCATACATAAATGCATGTAGTAAGCATGTGGCTTATGCACTTTACACTCATATATTCATATATTCGTATGTAAATACAATCGATTTATAAGAACGCGCTCTTAAGTGAAAGGTACGGCTAAATGCTTACTTTCTGATTTTTGGTCCGAGACTTGACAGTAAAGTATTGTGTAAACAATATAAAAGGTGTTTTTTTTAATGAGGCGTTGTTGGAGTTTTCGACAGTGAACAGGCTTACTCTGGGATAACGTTTAACTATTTGTTGGTGGGATTATGTGAAGTCGCTTGTCTACGCAGATAAACCAGATGCGACTGACGCCTTGTAAGATAATATTCGGCACGTTATTGCTGAAATACGGAAATTGTACCTCTCGTTTGGAGTTTCGTCGAACTAGACGCAGCGCTCACTTTCCCGAAGTCAAATTGAAAACATTATACCAAACCCTTCTCTCAATCCTTGGTCATAATTATTAATGTATTTGCGTTTTATTTCTTCTTGCCTAAAAAGCACCCTTTACATGTATATAAATATGTATTGGAAGCGCAAGTTTTATATGACTAAAACATTCAAAAATTCCTTCAAATTGTTTTGTGCTCTCTATTGGGCGAAAGGTTGATCAGCTTGAAGGCTTTCTTATGGCATATTGATGCTCTAGGATCTGCGAGAAGATTTGAATATATCCAGAAAAAGGTATTTTGTTTTGAAAATATCGTAAACAAATCTCGAAGAAAACTACGGAAACTAAGTAGATCTTTGTTCGAAGCGAAGTCTTCTTCAACTACTGAAGTAAAGGGTTGAGTATGAAATTGACTTGGTACAATAAAAAAAAATCGAATACGAAAGTTTGTATTCTCAAATCTCTAGAAATTCGGAACGTATATTCACAGAAAATACTTTTTTTTTTATAAAAATTATATTAATATTTTATTGTTTTATTTTATTGCAGAATCCAATTACATTCAAAACTTTTGCCAAGAAAATCTACTTTACTAACAAAGCAAAATATAATTAAAAGTAAGTCTTAGCAACTTCCCATCACCAACTCTAGCAACGCGCATGCACCAACGCTCGCCTCAGTGATGAGTACTAACCGGCTGGAGATTGCACACTCCTCTCAAGCCGGCACAGAAGCAAGTGCCAGAGGCACATTAGCCAAGGGCAACGGGCGACAATACACGCGACGCGCTGCTGGTGCTGTGGCACGCAATAAACGCACGCCAACAACGACAAAAGCAGCCAGTGGCGGTGTCGGTGGCATACTCGGTACTTTCGGACCGCGTTTCAATCGTTTCCAATCGGTGAATTATACTGCTTTGCAACAACAAGCTGATCTCGAAGTGGGCGCCGGTGGTGGTGGTGGTGGTGGTAGTAGCAGCAAAAACAATAATAACAACAATTATCTCAGTGTTAGCTTAAGTGACAGCAGTAGTGAAGAGGATCTCTTTCCAACTCGCAACGGCAACAACTTCGGCAGCGCCAGCGCAGCGCAGCCTAAGAGGAAGGTACGCAGAAAAATGGGACGCAGAGGTGGTGGCAGTTATTCGATGCGTGACGCCTTCGATGAGGGGCGAGCGGTAAGTGCGAAACGTATTTTTGTAGTTTTTATATTTTTTAATTATTTTTGAGGCAATTTGCATCTTATGCGCCTGGCGCTTGAATTTCAGTTCGGTATGCAAAGCACGCGTAGTGATTTTTCGTTTTTGTTTTATTTTCTTTCATCAAAATGTGGAATTTAGTTCACATTGCAAAAAAAGCATCGAAGTTGCAAATAACTGAAATACTTTACTCTATTTTATTTTTCATTTCGAAAGTGAATTTTATTGCGGATCTGTGTTAACGGTAATAATATTCATGAATACTCTCGTAGGCATGTGATCTCTCATTCATTGCTTGCATGTGTTTGGAATTTCAATTGCTCCTATAATTATTTATCACAGATAATTTAATTTAAACAAATTCAGAGGTTTTTATATTCAAAACACGCAAAGTAGAAATTCGTTACGTCAGGCCTTTTCACTGATATTTACTGTATTTACTTTATTATAAATTTATTTTCGTTATTTTTGTTCGGTTTTTCAAAATTTTAAAACCTCACGGTGGTATTTGAGCCATCCACAATAATAAGCGCCTTACCCATAATCAATTTCGATGCATATTCTATATCCTACTGGATTGGTCTTTGTCTTGCCAAACTTCACAGCCTCTTTCTGTTTAACATTTCTCACATTTCTCATGTTTCATCTACAATATAAAAGGCTACTCTAGATCTCCAAGGAGCTACGCAGAGTGTCTAATCTCGAGAGGCTAGCTCTATGACTTCAACGTTTCAGGTCCTATAGGGAAGCCTCAAAAAATGGTTAGCAGAAACGAGAGCGAGAGAGAATAGTTTCACTTAACGACAAACCGTCAGCTCTCGTTCTGCTTTCTATAGACTGGAAATGAACAGGAAACAGAAAAGCAAAGTAAAGTGCTCTACCGTCAAACCAAGACCAAACTCTACAGGTCACTTAATAATCCCGTCAACATCCGATGAAGGGGCTTTGGAGTGATCGAAATAATGGTTTTACGGAAGACTTAAGATACTCGCGTATGGGTGGCATTGAGACAGTTATGCGAATGGAGATACAGCGGCTAAGCTGGGACGGTTATGTAGTCTGGATGGACGAAAACAATTCAGTTATGAACGTGTGATATGAATTCCCTCGGTTTGAAGTATTTTAATGGAGAAGAATCTGGCTTCCCTAGAAATCTTTAATTGACGCTGTGCGGCTAAAAAAAGCGATGCCTTAGTGATGCCTACGCCAATTAAGAAGAATATGTAGAAGTATCTCTAAAAATTTTCAGCCTCTGGCGCTGACTAGACGCTTGTGAAGATATGCTAAAAAATGGCTCACCCAAAGGAAATTTTTATTCAGCAATTGGGTTTCCCGGACATTCAAGGTATCGTGGCATTTTATGCTCCAAAATTGACCAAAGTTCTTAGTTTGTGTAACAATTTGCACTTTGTAATCGCTGAAGCGATTTCATTCAAATTGGTGGTGTTTTACTTAATTTTTCCCAACAAATAGAGGGACCTACACTTTATACTAGCCGCCGAACAGCTGTTGGATTTTTTATGAGGTGCTTTTATATCATGCCAGAAATTCACTCGGAGGGATTAGTATTCCATGCCGAGAGGAAAGAATTCTCTATGTATTATTGTTGGATATTGAAACAGGACGAACCTGGCCCTCCGAATGGTAGCACCTGACTTGTCAGCCTCAAATATTTTTTATCGTCTCAAGCAACACTTTTTCAGCACTGTGCCAGTCAGATGTTTGTAAGCTTTTTTCAAAGTAAACAAACCAAAAGCTCGACTCATCGCAATGCAAATACAAAATCTTCATGCTCCGAGGTGCTGTTAACAGCCGCTAGAGTCAACGCTACTTGGAGAGCAACCACCTGTTGGATGATAAGCTACTCAGAATGCTCATCTCACTCACGCCAGCCACAGCTAAAGCACGCCCCCCACACATGACGTCACGCTTGCCGCACGTTTCTCCACTGAAATGCTTTGTGTGGTATTTTTATCAGCGTTTATATGTTTTGCTTAACCGGTACGTAAACGTGAGCGCGTGGAAACAGAAGCAAAGTCGAAAGCAGACAGAAAGAGGCGAATGAGAAAAGAAATGTTGTCTATGTGAGAGATGGGAGATACATATAAAGTTGTACATGCATTCATATGTACATATGTCACATCACGAAGTTGAACTGCTACGGGCTGGCGGCTTGGAAACATGCGTGTGTGCTTTATCGGAGCGGGTGTAGGCGAGTGGCGGGTAACAATGTGAAATTTGGTTGTCACTTTTTGTGCATTACATTTTATGCACAACTTTCGCCTTTAACTGTTATTTTGGCGTCTCTTATTAGTATATTGCTTTACTGGCGTTGCTCTTTATGTTTTGTTTTATTTTTCGTTAGCCACACGTTCGCAAGCCCGTCAAACTATCTGCTTCCTTCTCTGCTTTATTTGCTTTTTCTGCTTTTTCTTGCTTTTTGTTTTGTTATTGCGCGCGAGCCGACTCACTACACAAGTATTTTTACACGACTGTGCGTGTGTGTTGTTGGGCGCTATGATTTTGGCACTTACACGACAACAGACTCCACCAGCGAGTCGTCAGCCAAATCCGGTCGTCTACATGCATTGCTTTTCGATTTTCACTGCGCTATGCTGCGTTCAGTCTAAGCAAAATCTTCGCCTGCGACGGACGCTTTCTGCTCGCTCGCTCTATTCCTTCTCCGGTCGGGTCGTCGGTACGAAACCAAAGTAGCTGGGTGCGCGCGCGTTTTGTAGCATCGAAAATACTTTCTTTCGATTTCGCGATTTCTTTATTTATTTACTTTACGTGATCATAACTTTTCAATTTGGTGAAATGTCATGAAATTTTGACTGAAGACATTCGCGAATTTGAGGTGGTTTCTAAGCGCTTTTTTCTGTTTCCGTTTCCCAATGTTCAACTGGGACACCAACTTTTGTGAGCAAATACTATTTTCTGTCCTCTGGATGTTTTTGTTTTGTAACTGTTTATTTGTGGTCGCAAAAAATTTTTTTCTTCAACCCTAAAGTGGTAAATCCTCGAAAACTTTAAAAATTGTGAAAGTGAAAAATATTCATTTATGTGCACATAAAACTATTTTGAAAGATACAGTTTACTGTTAACAGTCTAACGGTAAAAGTTTCAACAAAAAAAGTGACGTGAAACCAAAAACCCCAGAAAAAATTTGTGAGAAAAATTGTAAAAAGTGAAAATTCGCCAAAAGCTTAATGTTACATTAGAATGAAATAAATAAATTAATCGCAAGGTTAAAAAAAAAATAATTAAAAATAATATTTATACAAAATTGTAAGTGAGTGTTTCCAGAAAATTCTAACGCTAAAAGTGCTTTAAAATTCCCATCAACTGCATTTTTCCCAAACTACGCCGAAAACGACAATTGTTTTCAAAACTGCACCGCTATAACTGTGCAAATTTCACTTAGTGTTTAATAATTTTGTTGTTGCCAAAATCGCTTGCGGCCAATCAACTCAGAAAGTCCAGTTTTACGCCATCAACAACACGCGCAGCCGACACAAGTTCATAAGTACGAGCTGCAGCTTGGACTACGCCGCCACTTTGTCCAGCTACGGCGAAAAACAACAACAACACTTAGCACTGTGTGTGTGTGTGTGTGTGTGTGTGTGTAACGACTGTGACTTCAAAGTTAAACCGCTAAAACGTGCGGAAATTGAAACTCGCTATCAGCAATTAGCATTTCGGTGCAGGTTGCAGCGCAGTACATATTGGTCTTGGCTAGCTCCATAAACATACTCCAAACAACAACAGCAACAACAACAACAACCACTTTATTCCAGCCTAAGAACTACAACTGCCTACAACTCAGCCAAAACTGCCAGAGACAGTACGGTATTTAACGAACGATTTCATTCGACGATTCGCCTGTTCATTTGCTTCCTCCTGGCAAAATACCAGTATTTTAGTAAGGTTCACCTCCTCCCCCTTACCAAAGTTACAAACAGATGGACCAACAGACTGGCGATTGTGTGTGATATGTCGAAAAGTGCCGGCTTTGTGTTATAGAAGCAAAAAAAAAGTGGGTTCAAAATTTCCGCTTACCTCACTGCCTTGCACCCAAGTATTGTACACACAGACGTTTGGCAAGTGATGGCCTGCAAGTTTACGCCTTTGCCTACAACAAACGGTGAGTTTCGTGGAATTTATTATTATTTTTTTTTTGTAAATATTTATTTGTAGTGCCTTTTCGCCCACCAAATGGACTGTGATTTTTGTGTGCCTTTTTTATTATTATTTATTTTTTTTTTTGCGATTATGAAGTGGACATTTGAAGTGCTGTTTGCGCCTTGGTGTTATTCTAAAATTGTTGTCGTTTTTGCTATATTTCCTACGGAAAACTGCGATTCTGAGCAAGCGAGTGGGAAAAATGTATTTAAAAAAAAATTATAAAAATATAAAAAGAAAAGAAAAAAATATGAATAAAAATATTATAGAATCGTAGAAGTATTTAGAAAGATTTAAAATATAACTAAACAATGTTTTTAAAATAATTAAAAAAATTTTTACATTTTATTTCTGTTTTATCAATTTATTTCAAAGGCAAACGTGAGCAAAAATAAAAATTAGAAAATAAAAAAATTAAAAAATAAACTAAAAAATAATATTCGAGAAAAAGAGTGTACTACAAAGAATTTATTCTTGCGGTATACATGAAGAAATTTTTAGTTATTTACATCGAATATCGCGTTAATCTCGCCACATTTTTAAATTTTCTTCCAATAAGTTCTTCGAAGAAAATTTAAAAATTATTAAACTTGTGTCTTTTTATTGTATATTTAAAATATTTTGGTTAAAAAAAAAACATAATATTTAAATGACAACATAAAAAAAATTTTTAAAAACCTTTGAGACATTTGTAAAAATTTCTAAATTTTTCTACATAAAATTACTGAACTTCTTTCAATGAAAGTAAATGGTTTAAAGATTGAGTTACCGTTATAGTAAAAGCTAAAGAAAAATTCTTGCGAGTCAATTGGAAATTTAATTTAAAAATTAGTATAAAAATATTAAAGCCCTTAAAATAAAAATCTGCTAACTTATTTTTTGTTAAAAATACCTCAACGTTTTGATATATTTTTGAAAAAATTAAATAAATAATCTTTCTTTAATTCTTAAAGTATATATTAAATATATATGCGAGCTCAAAAAATTTAGCTAAAAAAATGTTTGGAACATAACAAATCGCATGTGGAGAAACTCAATAATTTTGTGTATATAGCAAAGTAAAAAAAAAAAGAATTATTAACCAAATATGGTCGCAACCAATTGTCAAAACAACGCGCACCTTTCACCGAAAGAATTTAGCTACTTGTATAACAACCCATATTGGTATATGTTTGTATGTACGCGCTCTTTGTTTTACTTACTTATCAAGATACTAAACAGTTTTACATACGAGTACGTGAAAAAATAAATTTCAAAGCGCTTCTATGTGTCTTTCTGATTTATGATTTGTTTTGATTGTCAGCTTTAAATTGATTTCTAATACATTTTTTTAACTCTTTTCACTACCTCCCACTGATTTATTACAAAGCTTAAACGCTCAAAGCGAATGAATGTTGCCACTGATGGCTTACTTGAAAAATTTATTTTTCTATGGTTAACGTCTTAACTTGCCGTTAAAACTGTTTGATGTTTTTTTATCAAAATTTTTTATTTTAGTTTTTTCTTATATCATTTAATTCTTTAATTCAGTTTTGAAATTTTTTTAAGGTTTTTTCTTTTTTTAATTTTATAAATTCTTATGAAACTCTTTTTTTTATTTTGTTTTTGATATTTTAATTTTTGTTTTATTTTTTAATTTTCTTAATTTTTTTTTCTAATTTTTATTATTTTTTTTTAACTTTTTTTCTCAATTTAAATTTTTTCTCATTTAGAAATCGAAAGCACTTTTCGTTACGCTAATAAAGCAAACTGTAATTTTCATATCACAAAGCTTGATCTACATATATGTACGCTTATAAAAATGACAATTGTGACAGTTAAAAGTTAATTACAGTTCCGCTTTCATGCCAAAAACTAATAAAAAAAATAACAACAATAATAAATTAGGCTATCGACAGTCGATTGCACGATTTTCATTTTGTATATTTTCAGTTTTTTATTTATCTTTTTTATTTGAAACAAGTTTTACCCGATTTCGCATTTGATTATAATGAATTCCATTGTAAGCCTAAAATACGAAGGGTTTTAAATAAATATTTATAATTCGAGCACAATTAAATGATCTATTTTAGCTATTTTCTGTAAGCTACACTTCTGAGGTTTGTATAAGTTAAGTGAGTTTACAGTTTCTTCTTCACCTTTTTACATTTAGAAAATTAAATAAACATTGAATGAATTTTCTTGTATATTCTGTTAATTAATTAAAAAAAAAGAATAAAATACATATACATATATATATGAAAAATTAGATAATTAATAAAATTGTACAATTTGTTTATAATTTTTGTGGCAGCAAAATATAATATTTGCAGCAGAAGAAGTTTTTTCTTTCATTCACAATTGTTTTAATAAACTTTATGGCAAACAATAATCAACCAGACATTTTAAGTGTCCACTTCATATGAAAACATGCGCCTAAAGCGATAATAAAAATTAATTGCGAAAATAGACAATTAAAAATTACAAAGAAAGCCACAGAAAATAGATAATAAAAATAAATTAAATAAAAGCAAGGCAATGCATGAGTTTAGAGTTGTGTGAACTATATACAACAACAAGAACTAGCAAAGCCATAAAGTCAAAAAGTACAGTTTGATATAAGAATATATAATAAAATAGTCAAACATAATACTAAAGTTAAACGCGCAAAAATTGCTGTCCATTGTATTTATTTATCGGCCGTAATCATAAATATATACAAATATTTGATGCTAAAACAAATTTAGTTTAAGTTCAACAATTTAAGGTAGTTCAAAAACTAATTCTCGCCCAACGCCAAATTTATAAAACTCAAGTATGTGATATGAAAAAAAATTAAATATATATGTATATTATATAATAAAGAATAAAATAAAAAAGGGAAATCACGCTAGCATCCATAATTACAAATTAATGCAGCCAAAATTCACAACAATGAGAAAGCAGCGAACTTCAAGAAACTTCACCAAAAAGTTTTCATGCATGTGATTGAAGCGTTGAAGCGTTAAATAAATATTATTTTCTTAGCACAATACATATATAGTTGCTTGTTATAAGCTTGCGATTAAAATTGGTGACTTTTGTGTTGGTCATTGTTATGACCTTGAAATTTAGTGCTGTCTTTGAGATGAAAATGCTGAAAAAAATAATAATAATCTGCGGATATAATATATGATATATTAATTGAGGCAGGAAAAAAACAGTTATCCATGGAAAACACCAACACCAACATCCAGTCCAATTATCGACAAAAAATATATTTAAAAAAAAGCTTTACGCGCACGATCCGTACAATATTGAAAATCTCAAAACGTTTATTAACGCCTTTTAATTTAATTGTTATTTCATATTTAAGTTCTTTTTTACTTTTTTTTACATTTTTTGTGCTTCATATTTTTCGCAAAATTTTTTTTTTTTTAATTTTATTTTATGTTATTTTTTATTTTTCTCATTTTACTTATTTTTTTTTTACTATATTATATTACATTAATTTTTCTAGTTGAATTTTCATTTACTTTTATTTGATTTAATTTTGTTCTTCTTTTTATTATATTTCTTCATTTTGGTCTTTTTTTTAACATTTTGTTTTAATAAATTTTGTATTTTACTTTAGTTATTTTTTTTAATTTCATTAATTTCAATTTTATTTTATTATTTATTATTTTATTTTTTCATTTAACTTAATTTAATTTCTTTATATACTATTTAGTTTGGTGTAATTTATTTATTCTATTATAATTTACTTCATTACAGTTAATTTGTTTTGTTTGATAAAATTTTATTTAATTTATTTTATTTTTACGCTATTTATTTTTTGTTCTTTTGAAATTATTTTGTGCTATTATATATTCTTTTTTGATGAATTCTTTAATGGATTTTTTTTGGCTTTGTATAAATTAGTTTTATTTTTTTTTACTAAATTTTGTTTCATTATATTTTAATTTCTTGTAATTAATTAATTTTATTTTTAATGCTTAGATGTGCTATTTATTTTTTTCATTTTCCATTATTTCAATTTTTTTATTTTATTTCATTTTATTTTATTTTTAAATTACTATTTTATTTTTCTTCAACATTAATGGAAAAAATGAAATATTCTTTAGTTTTTGTTATCTGATTCACTTTTGGTTGCAATTTTGTGCAGCGGAAGCACATCAACAGCCGTCACGCTTCTCAATATTTCTTACTTTTACTACTCATTTAAACAAACTCTGCTGATAAGCAAATGTCGTTTCATATTTTATGTCAATTTATTTACTATTGTCGCTGAACTAAAAGTAAATAATAAGTTTATTTCACTTCAAAGTTTGAATACAGTGGCGCAAAATTAGAATTAGATTTATACATTAGAAATTCTCTAATTGAAAAAATAGAAAAAATTAATAAAAATAGAAAATAAAATCATTATTTGTATAACTACAAAGCCGAAAAACATTTTTGCTCCTATAAAAATTTAGTAAAATGATTTCCTATAAATGAGTTTTAATTTTTGGCGCCATATTGGGTGTCTTAAATTTTACTTGATCTTAATGAGAGGAAAGAGTTTTTAATATCTTATTTTTCTTTTTCCTTCTTCTGCCCACTGTTGCTTTCATTTCTGTTGACAAAATTTTCTTACGGCGTTTATTGTTTATTTACTCCATCGTTTAATAAGTTTCTTCATCGCTTACGATGGAGTTTGCAAACCACTAATATTTTTGTTTCCATTTACTCGTATATATATTTGTATTCATATCTCAGTTAGTTTTTGGTTAGCCAAAGTACGTTTGAAATGCGTATAATTTTGTGTATAGTTTCTTTAGAAACTTTGGAAAAGAATTTCCACCTTTTATTTAGTAGAAATTATTTAATGAAAATTGAATAATACTACAGGAATCTGTAAACAGATTTTTTAAATAAATATACTTTTTGCTCTCACAGCCACAATTTAAAGGTTTTTCCTCAATACAGCGTTTCTTCATTTGTTTTAATTAAATTTAATAGTGTATTTAAGTGAAAAAATGTTATTAAATTTTACAGTACATTAATTAGTATATTTTAATATGTTAAAAATATTTTCCCAGTGGAAGCGTGCTCGTTCATAGGCCGTCTGCATTGTAAAGGAAAAATATGTATTTATTTGCTGTCCGAAATTATACAACAATGAATGGTAGCTGCCGTTGATGAACATTTTTTCACACAAACACACTTGTGAAATTTAGTTCATTTCATTAAATATGCGACAGAGGCAGGTCTCAAACAGAAAAATGAGTGTAATATAAAAATTAAAAGACACATTTAATAACAAAGCCCTACTGATTGAATAGAGTCGTGCCGGAAATTATGTTAACTTAATTGTATCGCCCTTTAAAATTTTTGTAATTTTTTTCTCCATATTTTTAGGCCAAAATTTAACTAAATAAAACTTTGTCTACTAATTTGAAGAATTCAAATTCTTCGTAGTTTTCAATAAATAATTTTCTTAAATGACAAAAAATCCATTGCTTCAACTTTACACTCTGCTTCTAGCCTATATTTAGGTGCTGCCTACATTTATTTATTTTCTTTTCACATAATCGGAGAATCAACAAACTTTACTATAGATTAATAACTTTTAGTATTTACATAAACCCAGCGATATTAAAATATTTTTGTAGCATTTTTTTCATAACATTTTTACGACATTCACGCCTTCCTCACCAGCCCGCCCACTGAACTGAACGGCGCGCACAGCTACACAGCTACACAGCGCACACAATGCAAAAGTAAACAATAAAAAGTTGATGGGAAAAAAGTTGAAAAAGCAGGACAAGCACCTCTACCGCAAGCTGACTGTCATGAATTTTCAATCGCCATTGGGAAAAGACGCGTAATTTCGGAGCGGCTCCCAAGCGGCTCCGGGTAGAGAAGAACAAAAAATTTAAAAGAAACAAAAAATAGAGAAATAAAGGTGAACGGAGGAAAAAAGTAGCATAGCGAACAAATAACTTGCCACTAAAGGAAAAATACTGAAAAAATGCAAAATAACTGCGCGCAAACTAAGAATTGATGAGGCGAAAGGACAAAGAGCGCGCGCGACCAAAAAGAATGCTCTGCATTTCTTAACCACAAAGGGGCGTGTCATACAAAAATGTTTAGTTGACATTTGGTACACTCAACGATTTGTTTAATTAAAAGCGTCGTTAATGGTGTGGAAAGTAAAAAATGTTTGAACGCCTAAAGTTATGCAATGAAGTTGTTGCTGAAAAAATTGTAAAAATCCACGGGTTGTTGACATTGAATGGGAAAAATGAAATAATTTGTTATGCTCACTTGTTTACTTCGGTTCATTTATACTGTAAATAGCAAATTTGTATTACTAAACAGTTATAATTGGCTTTTTTGCGGTCGAAATTGACTATAAGGGTTTTGGCAAGGGCAGGCGTCTTAAAGTATGCAATTCATATTGTAGTCATCCTATGGGAAAAGGACATAAAAAATTAAATTAAATAACAGAAAACATGTTTTGAAATATTATATAAGCAGGTAAATGAAGGTAAATTACTCATTCCTAAAATATAAGCATACAATTAGGCGCTTTGTTATATAAAGCAAATTGAGGGAAAATATTTTTATTTAAATACTTATTAGAAATAAGACCCACATTTTCAATGATTTTCTTCTGTTTCTCAGCGAAAAAACCAAGCAATTGGGCACTAAGGATTTCTTGAACATCGCATCTCTTTACCGAGCAGCACAAAGCAATACCTGTCCATATCTAAGCTATAAGCGACCAAGCTTAATCGGAGTTTATAGCCGAACCGGAATCTATTACTGGTTCTTGGTATACCGAAGTTGCACTTCTCTTCGCGGGATGCGTTATCTAACCCGTGTAGAGCTGCCAAGAAAAGCGAGAGCCTTAGTGGGTCTGCTCCGACATATGCAGTTGACATGTTCAATAGAATCTGTTTGCACCTTCAGAAGAGCAGTATTTGGAATTTTTACCCCAATGCACAGCGAGGATATACTCTAGAGAGAACTTTATGTCACATCCCTTTATTTTGAGAGCTGTTGGTATCCAGCTTGCTGATGCTATCAGCATCCGAGATGTGCGATGGATGGCACAAGGAGGCAAACGAGTAGTTCCTCGTGACACTTACTGCTTTGGACAGAGAGTTTTTTTAACATATCAGTCATTTGCGCCCACACCCTATGGAAGATAAAGACGATGTGTCCAGGTAGACCTTCCATGAACGTCTTGAATGCGCTTATGAGGCCTGAGCCAACCAGGATGTTGTTTTAAGGGAACAATTTTTAAAATATATGAAAACAGAAAATAGTTTAAATAGACCATAAGGGCTTCATTATAGGAAAAATGAAACCACTTGGCAACTCTGCCAGCTTTTCGTCAACCCCACTTGGAGATGCTAACAAACATGCAATCCACACACCATTAATTTCGCGTCTTGTACAAATATACACATACGAATAAATACACCTTTATATACACGCATATGCCTATAGCCTGTGTTTGCTTGTATATGAGTATGTATGCATGTCTCATTTACAACGGCGTAAATTGTTTAATACCATCACGTATGCGCTACTTATGCATTCAGCACGAGTTCAATACAAGCCACAACCCAAAATAACTGTAATAGTAAATGTAGCCGCCACTGCCACAGCAGCACTCACATCGAGTCGCAGTTCCATTCACTGCATTGCCCAATCAGCCGTGTCTTATGCGCCAAAGTGGCGCCCAATAACTGCAGCGGCAACGCTTGGTACGAACGCGGCGACTGCGCCTACTTTCATTCACTACTTTATTGTTTCAATGTCCTTTCGGACTTTTTCTGTAAAACGTTTCTTCATTTGCGCAAGAAATCAGTTGAGATGCTGTGCCAAAAAATGAAAAAAAAAGACAACAACTATTGTACATATTTATATCTACTTGTTAGTTTAACTTGGCCTAGTCAGTCGCCATCACAATGACCTCTCCACTTACAGTAGAACATTCATACATCCATACATATTATTCGTTTTGTGTCTCTGCTTTCGCCTCTGCCACATATGTATGATTTGTTTTGTCGCTTCAAATGCGCCGCATAAAACTTTCACACTTTGGCGGCGTAAAAGTTGCGAGTTGCAAAATGCAGACATAAACATTTTCAAATGTAC